GAGCTTTTTAGGACTCACTGGATTTTATCGTAGATTTTTGAAAGGTTTTGCTTGCTTAGCTCAGGCCTTGACTTCTATTCTAGGAAAGTTCAAAATTGGAGATGTGAAACAACTCAAGAGTGAGATTTTCAAGCATTGAAAGATGCTTTGTTACACGCATCTATCCTCGAATGATGTGTATCTAACCTTCATATCAAGTTGGCTACTTACGCATCAGGTACAACGGTGGATGTCCTACTTCAACAAGAATGAAAGGATTGATGATATACAATTGCAATCTATTATCAAAAGAAGGTGGCGACATAACAAAACTATCACACGACAAAATGATATGAGTAAGCCATTGTGTTGGCAATTAAAAACGGAAAGCATTACTTGGATGATAATGGCTTTGTGGTGGAGAATGATCATAAACTTGATTTTTTTCAAAACTCCAAACGAAAAATTCAATGGGCAAAATGGCGTTAATATTTCAAGATAAAGATTGTGTATGTGGGGTTCAAGAAGCAACTTGCGGATGCTCCACACACATGCATTGTCTAAATCATATTGTATAAGTGAAAATTTAGGCTGATTGATGAAGCAAGATGACATTAACCACAAAAAAGTATGAAGATATCACTCGAACACTACAAATTGGAAAGGCGAAGAAGTCTTGACATTTGGCGTTTTACAAGAATTGTATATAGATTCCACACTACCAATGATTGCGCACAATAATTTAGGTCAAAAGTCATGACACAGCCATTGCACGTTATGTGGGAGTGAAAAAAACCTTGGAGAGCATACAAAAATATACTATTGGCCCAAAATACGTGAAGATGTGGAGTCTTACGTTTGAAGTTGTGTTGCTTGTCAACAAAACAAGACAAGTAATCAAAAACCAACGGGTTTATTACAACATCTTCTTATTCTCGAATAGCGATAGATTATGTCACTATGGATCTCATATGAGAGTTACCAAATATTTTGTTATGACATGATGGTGGTTTTTGTGGACAAATTAAGCAAGAAGATTCACATCATGCTAACAACAAAAAGTGTAACAGTTACACAACTAGCTCAATTGCATCTAGATGTAATTTTTGTGAATCTCATGGCTTAAGCAAAGTATTAATCATAGATAGAGTTAATCACTTCATTATTTTATTTTGGAAAACTTTGTTAAGTTATTTTAAAACAAAACTAACATTGTCAATGGCCTATCACCCTCGAACTAATGAACAAACGAAGAGGTCAAATAAAATCATAGAGTATATGTTATGAGCATTCACTTTAGAAGAACAAGAAGAGTGGAACACACTTTTGACACTTGTGGAATTCGCATAAAACAATTATGTTAATGCATCCCAAAAAAATGTCTTCATTTTATCTCATGTATGAAGTTCATACTATAACTCTTTCAAGTTTGATGCGACTTTCGAAAGAAGAGTAATTGTGTTACAAAACACTTCCAACCTTGATAGCAAATCATGAGGAGTTTGAGGTTGAATATATTCTCAAGAAACGCATTTGAGGTCATAAATATCCAAAAGTTGAGTATTTGATTCAATGAAAAGTCTATCCATCATATGAATCAACTTGAGAACAAACTAAAAACATAGCAAATGCAACCTTTGATAATTCAAAAGTTTGAACGTATGTGCAACAAGGACGTTGCATCTTAAAAGGAGAAAAATTGTAACCATCTTTAGTTAGAACTGAAGTGAAGGTTACTCAAGATTGAGTAGAGTAGATGATACTGGAATATTTACAGTGCCACGTCATCAATACGAATGTTAGTTAGGTAAAGATTGAGTGTGTTAGTTAGTTTGTTAGTTGGAAATGACACGTCATCAATCTCCGTGCTCATTAGGTTTATCCGCCATGTCATCAATCCACTAGGAATGGATTGGATGATGGGGAGTAGATATTATCTCCTTGTATTTGTTGGTAAAAGCTATTCAAGGGAGAGGAAAACCATTGTTGGTGACTCTCATCTTTAGAATTTATGTTTTCATTGTCGAATGAAATTTTCTCTAAATCCTACTGTTACAGGTTAACATTTCATAGATCAAATTTATCTCATTTTAGGTCTTAATCTAACTTGGAAATTGGACTTTATCAAACATTTGAATCTTAAAAGATCCACTATTGTCAATATTACAAGGTTGATCAATTTCCATAAGTACTAAATTGTTTGATATTGAGAAAATGCCAAAGATTTTTCTAATGTAATAAATTGTGGAAAGTAAATTTCACATGGATCCAAAAATAATTTCACTTTCTGACCTCAAAGTTAAAAAATTAGATGTAATGAGATGATAAGACTAGGAAATAATCAAATAATAGTAGATTTTGTTAAATAAGACATTTGACGACTTCCATCTTGTTCCAAAGTGGATGACAATAGATGCAGTAGATAAGTATTGACAAAAGACAAATGTGATGCATCCGGAAGTGATCTAGGCACATACTACTTTTGCTGAAGTTTGCGCAATCATTTGATCAGATATAGTCACAAGTAGAAGTATGATTTTTAACTAGTAGATATTAACAATGGGGTTCAATTGCATCCGCTACCAATCTGAAAGTTAAGTAGCGGCAGTAATATTACTAGCAGCCTGATTTAAAGTATTTGGATTTTTTGGGAAATGAAATTTGGAATTCTATGATCTAGTTGACACATTGGCTTCACAAAATTTTGAATAGAATTAGTTCAATCAATAATTGTTTAATGTTGAAGCTCATTTGCTCTTGATTACCGATCTGGATGTTCGGCAACAAATATATAGGATACACATTTTTTATGATTTGTGGGATTGGTTTTTGTATGTGAAGTACAATTAGAAATAACCAAAGAGTTTATTATAATTAGTTTAGTTATAATTAAGTCTAGTTATTTATAACTAAATTTATTTAGTGATGACTAAGTTTAGCTATAATGTTTAAATTTAACGGAATAATAAATGTATTTTTAAAATATTTGGATGTGCAATTCTATTTTGTCTCCACAAAACTTTACATTCCAAGTTATAAGATTTTTGATTATATGATTAATTTTCATTGGCTTGATTAAATACTGAAGACTTTATTGACGATACTAAATCTAAAGTTGATTTTGTGACAAGTGGAAAAATTCACTCACATATTGTCACCTCAATCTATAAATACTAATCTATAGATTGAACATCTCGAAGGTTTAGAATACAAATGATATGTTATCATATATTTAAGAACTAGTCAAACTTACTATGATTTGTATTTGTAAAATTAAGTAAGACAAGAATTACCATTTGTCATTATAGTAGTCTCTCAAGTAACACTTGTAGAGAGGTAGTCAAGATAATTTCAAACATGTGTTTAAAGATCTTTACACCATATGTGTAAAGATTTGTTTCGTTCAATGAAAGAGTGACATTTTTTATATCTTGGTATGTTGATGTGTGTGTGAACTTTAGTGATTAATAAAGAAAATGTTTGAAAAATAAATATGAGAAAGAATCTTAATCTTCTAAAAGTATGATGAGTTAATTTAAATTAAACTAACTGAGAATTAATATGAGGTTGCAGATATGAGATCCAAAATTCTAATATCTAACTGACATCTTAGTGGGGAAAACTTAGGTAATTAATTCAGTAATATTTAAACCAAATTCTAGTATCTAATTGACATCTTAGCTAGGGAAAATTTAGATAAAATTAATTTGTTCAATAATATTTAAACGAAAATTCTAATATCTGATTGACATCTTAGTTGAGAAAAATTTAGATGAATTTAATTATTTCATTAATATTCAAACCATAATTCTAACACCTAATTGACATCTTAGCTATGGCAAATTTAGATAAAATTAATTAATTCATTAATATTCAAACCAAAATTCTAGAATCTAATTGACATCTTAGATGAGGTAAATTTAGATAAAGTTAATTACTTCATTAGTAATTAAAGCTTAAATTTTTCTTAGTCAACTTGTTTTGTATTTTGTTGGTTCTTGAAATTAAAAATATATTTTAAATTACCCCAAGTTTGAGTGGCAATGTAAGATAGACAAGGTACATTGTGGTTTAGATAAGGAATATTGTCTTTACTAGTAAGATTACTGGAAGCCATCACTTAAGAGAAGTAGTGTAAGAAAAATACTCATAGTAACACCAAAATAATGTTACAGTCAATCATTCATCTTGCTAGATGGAGTAGGCAATTTGGACTACTTCTTGTTAGAGTAAGAAATAGTGGATGAGCTAGAGAATGACCATTCGCAAATGGTCTTATTGGTAAGAGTATACAGGGCTAACATAGGTTATTGTCTAGAAGGGTGAAAATTGTAGGTCTTAATAGGGTGTTTTTGGAAAATATTTAATGACAATTTAAATACTTTTAGTATGAATATTAATACCACACCTTACTACACTAATTTGATAAAAACGAATGTTTAATGATAAATAGATTGAGCCCATGAAATCCAAAGTGCCAAAATGCGGAAAAACACAAGATATATAAACAAAGTCACTATTTAGACACCATACATCACTTAATATTTGGTGATGCACAGATCGTAATTGTTACATCATTGTCTATTACTAACTGATTACGATTCATACTCCAGAAATCAAACTTTTGAACCATATACTTAACAAAAGATTAACATTTATAGTTGTAAAACTAAAGACATCACTCTTGCGACATTTCTAACATATCATAGTTTTATTCTCCAGATATTTTTCTCTACATTTGTATCTCTCATTGAATCCAAAACTATGAATTTATTCCTAGACATATATATATCTTTAAATCCAGAACGTTTGTTATTCTTCTTATTTTGAAAATATGCCACACCTCAAGTCACTTTCAATACTCTATTAAAAAAATAAGATTGAGATAAATGATATCATCTAGTGCTCTCAATCATGAATCGACATAACAATTAGAACCTAGTTATAAATGATTGTTTACATCACAATGTATGATACATGACAACCACTAATAGGAAACAATCAATAAATTGAAAAGATGAAGCGCTTTACTCTCATCAAGAATCTTCAGGTACTATTTCCTGAGGCTCTCTACAAAGTTTTTTTAAATGTCTCCTATGATTTCCATCTTCGGAACATTACGAAGTTGAAGTTCGGGAAAATACTACACTCGTGTAACATTCTATGATCTGTGTCAAATAACGTTTTCGCCCGAGAACTCGTCTCTGATAACGTCAATGACTCTTAACTACGCTTACACTCCAACGTGGGAAGGACAGCAATGAGTAAGAATTTCCTCAGTGCGATGGTGAAAGCAAAAGCCCCATTACCAACAAAATAGGCACTGCTAAGCACCATATGGAGTCCGTTCCTAATCTACTACACTACATGCTGTCTAATTCCAATGATCAATTATCGACAAAATGGTAAAAAGCTAGTCGCATCTATGGTACAGAATTTTAAATTGTATGATCGAAATGGGGATCAATGTTTACAGCTGAATCACGCTGGTATTACCCAATGTATGTCTAGGGACTGATTTCTGCATTCGTAAATTAGACATCACGGACAACCGTGCACCGTCCTTATCAACGGCTAAACGATTCTAATAATGACTCAGGGAACCATCAAGAAAAAAAGGTCCAAGATAATCTCCTCTATTTGTTGAGATTCCGTAGTTGAGGCCAGAAGGCTGCATCACATGGCACTTTACTTACAAGGGTGAGTTCTTATTTGTAGGACACCACGTCCACGGAACCTCTGCCTCGGCCATCGATGTGCCTCAGCCAGCCTCGTATCTATTCGGTCTTTACATCGCTGGCCAAGGGAATCTTCCTATACCCTTCGATAGACGACAGGAGGCTGCTCGAAGAATCTCCTTTCAGAACCACTTCCCAGCCTGGACCTTTAATGGGGAAGTCTAGAGCTGGATTATGGGCTTGCGCGTACTTGCCCGCATACAATTCTGTTCGATCGAGAGCCTTCAAAAGGTCTGTTTCGCTTATCTCCGAGCTTTGAACATATTCCTCTTCCACATCTCTTTCTTGTCGAAGAAGAGCAAGAAGATCAGATTCCTGAAATCAAAAACGTCAATTCATACTCCACACAAGCACAACTCTTTTACAGACACTATAATTCAGCCAAACCAAGTAGCTCAACTACCCAACTATTTACTTTTGCTGGATCGAAGCGCTAGGAATCATAATCACCTCCAGCTTGGTCTTGGGAAGGTATTGCTCTTGCTTGAACTGCCCCTTCTCAATAACCACATGTTCCAGCTGCATCTTGCAATTGGCCACTTTGATCATCTTGCACTGCATATAAGATATTCTGTGAGATACTAGTACCAACTCTTGAAGGAACTCTTAGAAGAAGCATAGTCCAAATATTACAGCACATACTCTTCCGGTAAAAGACTCATAGCAAGTTTTCAGCAGATAAAGTGAAGTGCTCGTAGCCCACGTTTAGTACAAGATGTTTGATAATGTTGTACCTCCACTGATTGTGCAGTGACAAGCCTGTATACATGCACTGGCTTGTTTTGACCAATACGATGGCAACGATCCATAGCTTGGAGGTCCATATGTGGATTCTGCATCCATGAAGCGGAGTTTTTTTATTTAGACTATGAAGAATGGACTTTCGAGAAAGTCAATGCCGTTCCACACAGCAATCATTCCAAACATTTCCAGCTCATAAAAATCTGTTATCGTCCAACATAGTTAACAAGATAAGTACTGAAAAACTTCTGACGATGTACTAAGGATCCAGTAATATACCCAATCGCTATCGTAGATGATTACTGTGTCTGCTGAGGTCAAATTGATACCAAGCCCACCGGCTCGAGTGCTAAGCAGAAATATGAACCTTCCATTCTTCTCGTCGTTGAAGTCTTGGATCTGCAGAGTGATGTTACAACAGCATATATCCACTTTGTTCATTGTCTTGATATCTTATGGCAGTTCTCATCCACCTAGACTGGCGGGCTAGAATTTTCAGCGCAGGCCTCAACTAAACGTTTAATCTAACAAAATGCTAAATCTGATATCTCGACCTTTAAAACAGGTGTCTGATTATTAGCGACATCTACTTTTACGAGGAAAACTCATTGCCAGAAGTTAGCTGGCGCCATACTCAATCAATAGTCGTCGTACCTGTTCCTGACGCTCCTTAAGTTTCACTTTACCATCAATACGACAAGGATCCATTCCTCTCTCCTGCAGATAATACTCTAAAATATCCAGCATCCTTGTCATTTGGGAGAAAATTAGCACCTACACATCACAAAAGCATACGTTAAATTGATCAACTTTCCTAAAAGATAAAAGTCCACCTGTCCCGATCAGAACAAGAGTAACTTGCAGAGAAAAGATTGACTCGATAGACATGTTTGAAGACCATGCTGTACTATGTGACAAATCGAAACTCTGAAAATCGCTACCTTGTGACCTCGTGCTTTCAGATGAAGAAGCAGTCTCTCCAGCAGCTTCAGTTTACCACATTGGCTCACCATTTCGTCCACAGGGGGATAGTCGACTGTTGTAATCACAACAAGTAACAAAGACATCGTATGAGATTACAGTCCTCAGATGATCACAAGCTGTATCAAGAATTAGAACAATTCCAAGATACAGAGCCTTGTATGCACAGCACTGTCTGCAGAAAAAGTGAGATGCATACATGTCAGAAAATGCCTTGTTCACTAAAAGGACGGAGCAAGCCACAATTGAAGGAAGGATAAGGGTTAATGAGAGGTCACACAGATCCCATAAACGAGTGATACGAAGAGAAAACAAGGTTTGGCAGAAAGTTGAGAAAGAGTTGCTCACAAGAAAACTGACTTTACTGGATGATGTGGGTGTAAATGAAGAAACACAATCTTAGAGCGATAAGTATTGAATTCAGCATTTCGATTAAGCTCTGAAAACCGTGGCCAATTCAAGGCTTTTGAATACAAAATTTCCTTGCTGATGTAGAACTGATACAAAAGCCAGATACTTACTACTCTCGTCGAAATGAGACACCAGAAGATCAGGGTGATTTGCATTCTTTCTCAGCTGCATAACTACATTGTTGAGTCTGCTCTTGTAACCGCCAACTGCATAGTGTGAAGACTCATACTTTCAGTCAAATTCGCTGATAATCCATTTCCCTAACAAACATCGATCAGTAATAATAGCTCTATTTCTAAGACTACATGCACTTTAATTAAAAAGTAGCATTGAAGGTACATAGTGTATGATTGTCGTTGACAACTTCTGGAAATCATCGACTTTGGCAGAATGCTAGCCATATATAACACTTGATGCTGGATATAATTAGTGAAGGTCTGAAAACAAGGAATCATGTGTCTTATAGAGGCGATTTGTAACATGGATATCGTAATTTTGAGTCCTAGAAGAAACAAAGGTCATGTCAGATCTCCATTTCATTTGAAATCCAATTTCTATGTGAACAGCTAAAACATGAACAACTAAAAAGCACACCTGAACTTCTAGCTTCAAAGTGCTCATTAAGGGTGTTGTTGATCAAAAGCTGTTGGAACTTCATTTGTTCTTCTGTCATAGGGGCATAAAATATGATTTCCTTCTTAAGTGGCATGTTCTTCTCCACTTCTTCTTTCAATCTTCTGAGTAAAAATGGTCTCAGAATCATATGAAGTTTGTTCACAACCTGCAAAGGTCCTTCAAAGGTCAGAACATTGGCATAATCTCTTGCCGAATAGAGTAATATTACCGTCGATCAAAAGAACCATTTACGAGGCTGAATGATGGGAACGAACCAAGCATAACTTTACTTCCTCTAATATAGAAGACCAATTCTTTTCAAACCATAGACTATCATATCACGTCAATGTGAAATCGTTACTGAAGCGCGACCAGACAACCATTGCTCAGGACAAGATAGTATTAAGAACCTCCAGCCGTCGTTTTTCATCGATTTCTTCCTTATTGAGACCCTGGCTCTGCTTTCCGGACAAATCAAACCTGAATAAGGAAAAGGACATAAATAAGTGGAGATTTATGTTTCGGCGTTTAATCAGGAGACTTGGCCGGCGTTTAAGAGAAGTCCACTCTGCCCACACGTCACTTTTATCATAGAGTGAATTCATCATCGAGTTAAAAAAGGGGAGAAATATCCAAACAAGTTCCTTCTATGTCAAATTGCACAGCAATCGCAATAGCTTGAAGCATAAAAGTCGCACCAGGATAGGGCTGAAATCTAACTGTATATTACTGATTGTCAATTCTAGAAAATAAACTTAGAACAACGTTTATGCTTACCAGGATTCAAACTGCGACAGCGAAGTAAAAATATCCGGCAAGATGAAATTTAGTAGAGACCATAACTCAGACAAATTATTTTGAAGGGGTGTTCCCGTCAGTAGAAGCGTGTTCTCCGTGGGGATGAGCTTCAGTTCCCTTATAAGCTTGCAGTCAAAATTTTTCAACCTATGCCCCTGTAAACCAAAACGATTTAGAGGTTTCACCAGGAACAATGAGCATACGCCAAAAAGTAAAAACCTGTTCAAGAAGTAACCTACTGGAACAGCTAGGTTGATGACCGTTGATCATACCTCATCAACAACGATATATTTCCATTTGCGACGGCAGAGGAACCTACGATCATGAATAGCTACTTCATATGAAGTGACAACAACTGGGAAGCGGGGCGTTATTTGTGCAGGCATTGTCCTTCTCAGCTCGCTCCGCTCATCTTTGGTCCCGTGATACAGTATTACAGGTAAAGCTGGGGTCCACCTGTTGCATCAGGTGACATCGACCCCTCGTTATTGCAGTGCACCTTATAGAGGATACATGTGAGCCGACGAGGAGCATATAAATAACGGGAAATTTCCCGAAATTAGGAGGTTCTATAAAGCATTCTTCCAAGATTCTACCTATGTACCCAGAAGAATTATACGGCACAAGACCGTGCAAAGCAACCGTTGAGGCCGAGCGAAAGGAGAACGTGATCAATGACGGACAAATTAATACCACATGTACTGAGACAAACCTTTTGAACTCATTCACCCAGTTGTTCAGGGTTGACAGCGGAGCGCATATAAGAAAGGGCCCGTGCATGCCTTTCCCTTTGAGATGGGCAAGTAGCCCTATCGACTGAACTGTCTTCCCAAGACCCATCTGATCTGCCAGAATGCCGTTCAGTCCATTTTGCCACAAAGATATCAACCACTTCACACCCTTAAGCTGGTACGACTTCAAAACACCTCCTGTTAAAAGAGGGCATATTTCTTTCTGCTCTTTCAATATTCGATCGTCCTCTGTCGACAACTCATCAGTCTCGACTGTGTCGTCTTCTACGGCCATTTCTCTCACTCTTTTCGACATCTTCTCCTGTTTGCAAGTCCAGAAAGGTTTTAGCACAAGTACTGGACCTATATTACGCTATATGAAAGCAAACAAGTGCCTCCGCTTAGTAAACTTCAACATGGATAGAGTATTTACCCTGGCACAAACTTCTGCAGCGAGTTTTCTCTTGGTTGCTCGTCCACCTTTGCTCCCTTGCTTCTTGGACTCATCGCCGTTCTGTATAAACGACTTAATCAACTCACTCAACTGGAATACACGTCATGAATCAAAGATGCAAAACGTACATAAGACTGTGATTGCATGAAAGCAGCAAAATGCACTCATGTTCCCATGTGAAGGTTCACACCAGAGCTATGTTGTTCATTTTCTCGAGAAGAAATTCGGAATATAGTTGAGTCTGGCTGAGTAGAGCATCCAATTTGGTGAACATTGACTCCGTGTTTTTGGATGCCGTTGCGCTAGCGGTTTCCTGTTTTTCAACTGCAGCTTCTTTGATGCGCTTCTCTTCCAACAACCTTTCTGCTTCCTTGATCCGCTTTTCTTCCATTTTTCTTTCCTCCTCCACCAATTTCTCAGGGAGGATGATGGGTTTTACGTCCTGAATCTGAACAAAATTATTCATGTTCTTTAGACGAGATATCAACCGTCTAGGAACAGAAAAACAACACAAAAGCCAGGTATAATTGTTGAGGACCTATGGACCAAGGTAAAACTCATCCTAAGTATCTCTTCGAGTAAAGTGAACCGAACAAGGTCTACTGCTGTGACTCTGTGACTTCTTGGACGTATTTACGCATGTTTTCTTCCTCTTGTGGAATTCGAACGACCAGGAGAGCTATCGATGCGCATATGATATACCTCATCATCGAGTAGGACCGATGTTGGTGAATTTGTTACTTCCCCATCTCCTCCACTCCCAGATGCAGTTGTCTGCAGACAAGTAAGGTTTGAAGGTCGTTAAACCGTCCTGTCACAGGTGTATTCTTATTGGACTGTCTCTGTGAGACTCTGTTATAATTACACGAAGCTAGCATTAGCCATACGCAGTGCAGGTGCATGAACGTATGGCTAATAGTTCGCGAGTGTCGGTGTTTATCAAGTACTTCAACAGTAGTTGGTGAAGTTCCAACGGTAATCACCTGTCAAATCCTCCGCCTTACCATAAAAATGAGAAATTCACAGCAGGGATTTGGCCGCAGAAATACGATCCACCTTAGAACAAATAATTCAGAAGAAGACTCAACCTCTAGAGAGATAATCAAGAGCAAAGAATGGGCTCCAGTGGCCTTATCCAAACACACATACGAGACAGAAGTAGATCCCACGAAACATTTTCGATGAAACTGAAATCTACACCAAATTCAAGATAGGATTGAATTTCACCTTGTTTTTGGACGAGCTAAGAAGTTTGACAGGTGAGGCCAGGTACATTTAAAAGGGGAACGAAATCACCACAGTGCACTATCTCCTACGTGAAACTTAATTCAGAAAAAACTTGCGAAAACTAGGAGCAAAGAACCGGCTCCAAAACTATTTCAAGCAAAGAATTATTCAACGGAGACGTTACTCCAATCAATACTGGAATTAGAAGACAATAAACGAGAATGCTCACATTGCTGGTAACCGGTACATTCGGCGTAGTGCCCACGGCCCTGGCTTTCGCATTCAACTTTGTCATCTTCACTTCCTGCCTGCCGCCAACGCCGCCAATGCTTATCCACGTTTCGAGTGCGAGGTGAACAACAGCTTTAATTATTGCTCCATGCCAAAAGCTTGAGAACCTGCTCTCCTTAGCAGGTCCTTTGACCTCTACACACCACACAAACTTCCGGCCGTGTCACAATATACATGAGGGAGCTCCGATATACTTCCAACACTTCGAATTCTCTGCTCTCCTCCGACTCCAGAGTTCCAGGCGCTCACCACAAGGAAATAAATACTAAGGCCGCGAACTCTGACGCTCGTAATATCAGCGTTTCTCTTCTCGCGAAAACAACTCGAAGTGTAATACTAGCACAGTCAGTTCCACTTCTTTTAGGACACACAGTACGTTCGACGAGTTCGAAGACACTGCTCCTAGCTCCGATTACCGTCCAAAAGGACTCATAATGTGCAAGATTTTGAGCTGCACATAATTGAAGCGACTCATCGATCAGATGAGAGTCTAAGTCCAAACCGGAGAAGATCCGAGGTCAAGGGGGTGACGCTCAGACTGGATTCTCTCTCCCTGGACTACAGAGGCATTCGACGCCGCTCCACAGACCAGTTGGCAAGAAAAGAGAATGTAGAAGACAAAATTGAAGAAACTCTTGCAGAGCCGAGACGTTAAATCCGCGGACACCGCGCTTCTAGAGTGCAATGTATGTAAGTTCGAAGTTGCAATCTCTCAAAGAACGCACGAGTAATCAAGCAAACAAGAGGCCTCTCGGAGGGCAGCCCGACAGCTGACCCCTTGGAGATGTCACTCTAAAACTAGCAAAGTCCCAGCTGCCTTCCCACTCCTACACCTTGTACAGATTTTATCGATTATGGACCTACAATAGAATCAAGCGCTTGCACACAAGAATCGTTCTCTCTGTGCGCGGGGTGACATGCTACAATCCTACAGCGGCTTTCATCGCGGTCGGACACGGGAATCTGTACCAGGAGCCGAAGAGTCCCTTCTCAAACCAATGAACGACAGGAAAAGGGCGGGAAGACCCAGCGGTCCCACCGTTCGTTAACGTTATTAATCGGTGATCTGTACTTTCTTCGTTACTTCCCATCTTTATAACTTCCATACGAGGAGGATCTGCAAAGCCAGTTTTGTCCATGCAACAAGGTCTTCCCTGACTTGGAAAACTTGGGCAAGTTACGAAAATACCCCAATTCGCGCTAGAGAAGCAAAAAGCCTTTTTCCGATATGATCCAGACGTGGATGAGCTTTGAGGATCTTTTTTCTTTTTGCTTCTTCATTTTTCTTTCCATTCGGACCATTCAGATTGTCATCAGAATTTGAATATTTTCTGCACTAAGTCTTCACGTTGTCTTCTTCTTTTTTCGCGTATTACCATGAGGCCTCTGAATTATTTTATAAATCACAAGCCTTAGTAATAACTATTAGCTTCTAGTCCTGCTGAATTTGGAGAGTGATTTCGAACAGTTCAGAAAACTGGATTATTTGTTGTCCAACTTCGAGTTGGATATGTGATTTTCGAGTGACATCTTGAAATCTATGCACGTGGAATGCGGAAGTTCTATGCAGCAGCTTCGTATGAGATTGAATGTCAATTTGTTGTAATTCACCCGCAGAAATGAGTCCTGTCGCGATAAGCACCATATGTCGGAGGTTTGTGAGTGGAATTTCTTGCATTGTCAAGATCCAGATTTATAAACTTGAACATCCATGAAGGTAAATTTCTCCCCAATTTAGGTGACAATAAGTCAATGTCTTGTCTTGGGTTTTTAATTTAAGATAAAATCTTCTCATTATTTGCAAATTGTATTTGCATCATTATAGTTTGTTTAACGTCACGATACAAGTCGTAATGAGGTTTGCGTCTTCTAGTCAGGGCTCAAGACATTACGCTTCTTCTTGTCAATTTGTCAGATACTTCTAGGAGAAGTGATATAAAATGAAAGCAATATGTACCTTCAATACATACATACACATTTTGAAAACAAAAAATGCTCCTACTCTACACATTAACTAACAGGTTGCCAATCCACATTCGATCTGGAGTGGACAGATATGTAATGCGCCAAGCCAATGTACAGAAAATAAAATTGTGTGCGAAGTATGAATAAATGATTCTCTTTACCGCCCTACAAACGTCGCCAATTGTACCCTCAAAACAAACCCCTGGACAGAATAATAAATCCACTCCTTAATTGTTGCACATGGAGGAGTGGATGTGGATTGATAAAACAAGTTATATTATTAGGTTGGTCTCGACACAATAAGGATGATCGATTTTGTTCGAATGGTGAGATAATATATGTCAACCCCGAGGATATAGAAGTCCCAACAAATGGACAACACAAAAGAAGAAGATACTGGTTTCATGGTTACGCGTGTGGCGGGCTTCATACGTTAAAGTACAGCCCACAATATATGCAGCAAACTAATCAACATTTTTCCGTTGAGAGAACCTCCGGTAAGAAGATAAAAGCCAGGAGAAAAGTCTGAAAAGTCTATGAACTCAAGCTCTAAGAAGACAATTATAATACCACCTTTCGACTGCCAAGCACTATATGATTTCCAGTTCAATAAGAGGGAAAAATCATCTTGGAGGAGTTAAGATTATAGCATTATGGAATCCACCACAAATTAAAATGAAGATACTATATTTTCTTCTTATCATAAATGAGCATTGTCCCTTCATGAAGATTTATATAAGTTGGAGAAAAGATATACCCATGTGCAAGATTTCAGAGCAAACTGTTATCATTTACACATACCAGAACTGCAGTCAAACTCGGCTTCGACAAACTCGGCATCAAGACAATAGGAGTTTATTGGCATTTATTTAAAAGGAATTTATTTCTGCAATGTGGATATTTGGCTTTCAAAAGAGAATTGTGAAAACCAGGATTCTGTAAGATTCAAATTTCCAAGTAAAATAATATGACAATATTATGCTTGTAAAATTACCAAATTATTCTCGTAACAGATAGAGAAAGATAATAACAAATAAGTTCAACCACGGTGTTTCTCTGAGAGCCCTTTCACCTTCTGGCTATAAGCAATCACATTCTTCAGTTTTAAAGTAGTTATGGCAAACTAAGCGGGGGTTACTGGGATCTTTTGGACCCATAGTTTGGTCGTCTGTATTCCTCATAGGAAGTTTAAAAGCCGTCTTCTTCCCTCTTCACAGCATAAAAGGCCGTTGCAGAGTATGAAAGCTTAAGTTTTAATACTTTTCATATATTGCAATAAAACTGCAAAAGTGGATCATATCTGTTTGCAGTAGAACCGTACATTCTCTGATATCCGGTAAATGATGTACATACGGGTGTATGTACATCATTTATGCTGGATTGGCACCAGAAAAAGAGCCAAAATATTGCTAGTTCATGGAAGTGGAACTTGCTGATGAGAGAAAATCTTAGTATTTTACCATAGATTACTTGCCATTTATTAGTAGAGATCCCTTGTAGACACAAGGGACAAAATACATGGATTAAGGGAACAAACCCAACATTTTCTTCATGACGAAGATCGATAAATGTCAAAGATTGTACCATCGTTTCTTGTTCTGCTGACGGTAAATTAGTAAAGAATTATTGTAACATAGCTGAATTTAACTCAGTTGGCGTCAATTGAATATAATTGATATTTGCGTGGGAATAAATTTCAAGAAATAAAATTCGTTGCTCAAAAATATGTTGTCAATCATAATTGTATGGCTATGATAGATATCAAAATTCAATGATGTTATTTATACATCAGAATTATAACAAGTTTTTCTTCAAGGAATTCATGACTTCACATACAATTATAGTTCACAATATCTTTGTATTAAAGTTTCACAAAGAAAATGAGATTTCATAACACACACATAACAAAATGTCAACATGAAAGTACATGATTTGTCACTACGGTGCTTTTACTAATGAAATTCTTAAAGGATCAACAATAGCTTTTGCTATCTTCCATTTGTAATGATAGGTGAAACTAAATCTTGACTAGAATTGAAGTAACCTAAGATACATACCTGGGCTAAATTCTAAGAATTCTCCCCCCCCCCCCCCCCCATTTCTGTTTATGTTTCTGTTTAATTTTTGTTATGGTATAATGATCTTCATATTATATACAATCTTCCTACAGTAAGTTTAAAAAAAACTAACATATTTTAATCTTTAGACAACAAATTATTTATCAAATATTATTTTTACTATCATTTATTACATTAGTTAATTACTTAGTTCGAATTAAATGATTTGTTAAATTATATTTTCTAATTAAGACAAGTGTGCAATGTTTGGAGAGGATGCAAAAAAATAATTCTACAAGAAGAATTGGATATGAAAACTCAAATTTCATATGCTTTTACTCTTGCAAAAACGAGTTGTATATCTCTTGAGGCTGAAGCTCTTCTCTTGACTATCATTCACATTGAATGTGAGATTTTTTTATGCTTCTCGACTTACTCTTGAAGCTTTGAGTACCATACATCCCAAGGGATGGTTTGCAGATGTGGTGACTTGGTCTTTAAGGTGAAATATGACAAAACTTGATTGGAATTTGCAACCTATGGCCATTCGCGGGCTTATTAAGGAGAAATTTCTCAGAATTATTTGGAGCAAACGAGTCACTAAAATGGAGTTTTATCAACTTCGTGTTAATCTTATGCTTGTTAATTATGAGCAAGGATATCTACTTGTGGATATCTCTACATCTTTACGTCAAATTATTGCTCGACATAGATAAAATCTCATAGTCTTGGGATTGAGTAATAGCGATGGTTGAACATTGATAGGAGTGAACGTACTTGTAAGCTATGTGATGAAAGCAAAAGTTGAGGATGAAGAACATGTGTTTGTTACTTGTACTAGATTTATAGGGGTATAAGAGTGGCTCATAAAGTTATTGAGAATTTTTCTTCTTTATTACAACTTGAACTTTATGATTTAGTATGTTTTACAAAGGATGTTATTTGTTTTTGTTCTAATGCTCTTAGCACTAGCTATGATGTTCTTTTGGTTCTCTCATTGTTTGTATTATGTGTTTGTATTCTGATCTATTTTTTATTGTAAATAGTCATTAATTATCAAAATTACTAATTACTTTTTCCAAGGTGAAATTTGATAAAGTGTAAAATCAAATCATATGATTTGATAAAGTTTAAAATTTGTTGGCAAAGAAGTCTATATTTTTCTTAGTATAGCATGTTAAACTTGTCAAACATATGTTGAATGTATTGTGTTGACTTGATAATGATTTTTTGTTTCAAATTTAAATGAATATCCATTCTTAATGACCTTTTGAACTTATTAAAATCTTACATGCAGATTTTAGTTTCATTGCATCTATCAATATTTTACTGATTTGTGATAGGCCAGTTTTTTTTGTTTTTCCAAAAATAGAGTAGTAGGTTGGGAAATTCATGTCGATCTTAACGTTTAGGGTAGAAGTAATTAGATTAGAATAGAATAGGTCTGTTACGATGGAGATGAGATAGTAGTAGTAACTCTAAGTGAACCTCTGCTGGTGCGACGGCCTTCATAAGGAAAGCGAGGTTCCAATACGGAGGAACAGAACGAGAAGTAAGAAGACTTGGTTCTTTTGGGTACCTAGACGGGTTCAAGAGAGGCTATTCGGCATTCACGAATGAGGACTTCGGAGCTTCACGGTTACATGAACGGCGAAGTACACCCGTGGACGTAAAAGATAGTGCAGCACTAGAAAGAATTTGAATGGCGGCACCTTCAATTCATACGAATGGGAAATCGTTGTGACGGCGGGGTATACTCAAGGAGCCGAGAGCTCGATGTTCACACGTCACGAACACATTGTGCGATCAACGCGGGATTGAGGCGCGGAAACCAGAACGGAAGACATCAGCGATCGCGCAACCGATCAAATTGCATGCTCTACGAGTGCCTGAAGTAGGTTTACGAGCTTATCGTCGTGATTTGATTTTCACGAAGATGGATTATCTGTTGTGGGGCTGGAATTGGACGAGCGAAGCAATGGTTCAGGAGTGGGATAACAATGGGTTGCCGA